TAGGACAATAGAAACTGAGGTAAAAAGGCCTTTGGTGTGGAGATTTGTGTTAATCCAGGCAGGAATTATGCAGTTTGAGGTTTATTGTTGCCATGGTTACCACTGTTGAGGTTTGTTGTTGCTATGGACACCAAAGACTTCAATTTCCTGTAGTGATTTTGTTTTTATCTCTTTTTTTTTTTGGAGGGAGGTATCTTCCCATTGTGATACTTCCCCAAAAGACCCTCTCTCTTATGGTTCTAGATGTAACCCACTGCTCGTACTGGAGGTTTGTGTAAGTGCAGTGACAACATGTAAAGGCAGGCTTTCTCATTTCGAATTAAGTTTTAGTCTTCGTCATGCACAGCTTTGGGCACTCACATAAGTTCTGCTCCTACTGTAGTGGTAGACTTCGTTCTGTACCCTTTCCTTCTTTTCGGGGCAGTAGTTATCTACCACTATCCAGTCTATGACTGTAAAGCCCTTCCTGCTCCTTCAGGTGAAATAGGGCAGTCTCGTTTGGGCTGAGTTTTTGAGAGCCGGTCTCCAGCGCATTGCTGTTCCTCCAGGGCTCTCAGATGTACCACGCAGGTGGAGCCTCAGCGTCCCAAGGACTGTAGTCTGCACAGATGTTGCAGTTGCTACTGTTCCTCTCTCCCAGCCAGAACAGTGGTCAGACCTGTCTCCGGATTCTCCCTGAACCTCTCTCTGGAAGACTGGTGCAGTTCCTAGAGGAAAAGCCTCCAAACAAGTGATTCCCCTTACCGTGGGATCACTTCCTAACTGTGGCCTTCAGGAGCTTCATTTTTCTCACACTGCTGTACTCTGAGCTTCCAGCAATTCACAAAATTTCTAGTTTGAATGTCTTACTGGCTCTTACGGTTTCTGGTGGCTTCTGCCTCGGGTAAGCAAATGCCTGGGTCCCGTGCCCCCTTGAATGTGCCTGTCTCCTCAGAATGGGGAATGGCTTCATGTCTCTTACCAGTTTACAAAAAGGACATGAATTTGCTGTCTGTCCAGTTTTTTTCTTATTCAAGTGATATTTCTTGTGCAGACCAAGAAGGAGGAAAACTACATTACTGGTCAAAGGGATTGTTTTATTTCTCTCAGTATACCAAACCCAGACCTTTCCTTTTTAGGAATGTCAGTCCATAGCAATAGAGAAAAAAACTTGTTACATAAATTGGTTTCCATTTAGTGGGTCAGTTGTTGTTATCTAATTGAGATCAAAGCATTTCTAAACTGGCTGTGCCAGCCTTCTTTGAGAGGAGCTTTAGATCTAAAATGTACACGGCAGTTGCCTTCTTTTCCTTCAATGCAGAGGTGCTCTATACAGTGTGCCTCCTCTCCCAGCTTACCCTGTAATCCTGTTCCTCTTGAGGCATCGTGTTCTGCACAGGCAATTCCTTACTTTATGTGCTTGTGTGTATAGCTGATCTGCGAAGCAGCCTCAAGTCCATGATAATGTTATCCCTCTGGACATCACAAAGATAATGGCACTTCTGAACCAGTGCCTGCTGTGACTTCTCTGAGTCAGCTGCATATGGCCAGGTGTGTTCGGTGGAAATCTTCTAGATGAGCAGTTCTTTTGCTCATTGAGTTTATCAGCAAATTGTCCAACCAAGCTATCATATTTTCTAATTATATAGATGAACAATCCTATCATTGGTATGACGGAGAAAGTATCAGAGGCAATCATTTCTCTGGATAGAAAATATAAGCCAAATTATGTGCGCATAGGGTCCTGTGACAGTAGTTTTGAGACAAAAGAATTGGCAGAATTCTTCAGAGATAAACTGATGACAGATTTGTCCTCTATTTCCAGAAGATGGCACAAAGGCAAGACATAGCTGTGGCTTAGTGTTCTTGTGACCCTGAAGGGAGAGCGTGTCGGGTGTGACAGTAAGAGGACCAATCAGGTTTCACTCCTTGAGTTCCTAAAAATAAAATATAACTTTGTCTTCATATCCCATTGCTCTATTTTTTATCACATACTTATTTTCTGATAATACTTATCAGACTATAACTTCTGTGATTGTACAAATATGCTTTCTTTTGACAGACATTTGTGGTTGAAAGGTAATTTTATCAGGGAAGATCCACAAGATTTGAAGTCTTCTGTGCTTAACAAGCCATTTGCTCATTGAGCAAACATCTGTAGAATTCCTGCTATGTGCTAGTCATTGTTTAGATGTTAGAACAGAGCAGTGAGGAAGACACAATAGCTCTGCCCTTAGAAAACTTCTATGCTTGTTTGGGAAAACAGGAAATAAACAAGTCAACAACCAAAGAAGTAGGGAAAGAGAGGATCAATGGGAGAAGCAAAACTGGGAAGCCTCATTGGGAAAACTCCATGAGGAGGTGATATTTGAGCTGTTGGATGTCAGGGAGACCCCTGCAATGTCTATGTGTTAAATGTGGGATACCTATTCAACATCCACAGAAGCATGTCAAATAGCTGATAATATAAACCTGGGCATCAAGATTGTCATAAGGAATCTGGAAGTCAACACATGGCAGTGCTTTCGGTGCTCTAGAAGTGGCTGGGAGAGGGCGTAGAGAAGAGAAGAGATGAGAGTGCAGGACCACATACTAGAGTGTGTGAATAGTTATTCAGAGGAGAGCTCGTGAGGTGGGAAGCAGACATGAGCATCTGATACCAAATGCTGAGGTTAAAACGTATTTGTGTTAGGAGAATGGTGGTGATTAACCCAGCAAAGTGCTACTGGGCCCTATTTTTTAAAAGGGTGCTGTTTGATTTTGTAACATGGAGTTCATTTATGACCCTTTCCAATGACAGCCTACGAAAGAAGGCACTTTCTAGTGGGCTGGGAGGAGAATGGATGAGGACTAGAGACCATGGGTGTGGGTAGTAGTCACATGGGATCAAAGAAGGATTTCTTTTTTAGGGTCATGGTAGTGATTATTTGGGGGGGGGGGGGGCTTCAGTTCATTTATTTAGTTTGCTTTTATCTTGTTTATTTTAAAGATGGGAGATACAAAGGCCGGGCATGGTGGTGCACACCTGTAATCCCAGCACTCGGGAGGCTGAGGCAGGAGGATCGTTGTGAGTTCAAGACCAGCCTGGGCTAGAAAGTGAGCTCAAGGCCAGCCTGAACTGCATAGCGAGACCCTGCCTCAAAAAGACCAAAAGAAAAAAAATATGGGAGATACGAGTACGTTTGCATAGTGATGGGAATGATTTGGTTCATAGGGAGAGAGAAATTAGTTTTGGGGCAATGTTGACTGCCCTGTACTCTTCCTGACATAGCTGTAATCCCTGATCCTCCTCTCAAGGCATAGGAGCTGATATAGATGTATGTTTAAGAGTCATTTTTTGTATATCATTGTAATTGTATAGAACTTAAGTCAGAGAGAAACCCAGGGTTAGTATCGCCTTTTTAGCCTGAGTGAAGTGTGTGCTTTATGAAACCCTAGCATGTAAATCCCCAGTGTAACTGCAATCTCAAAACAGACAGCAGCATAGCGTGTGTTCCTCATGCGGAATTGTGGGTACAGCTGTAGAATTTTATGGACAAGCATATGGAAAATGTGATGATGGCCGTGAAATACACCCGGCCCTCCTGAGGAGTCATTAAGTGAGGGAGGAAATACTTAAATCTCTACGTAAGAATATAAAAACTGGACTCAAGCAGATGTCTTATTAAATGTTTTTCTTATATTTTTCCATGGAAACATAGACTTTCAAAAGTCTATTTTCTTCCATAATCCCTTTGAAAATGGTCTTCCTTTGGTGCCTAGAACACCAAGCATAGAGTTAGACTTCTAGGAGGACGGACATCACCCGTGTGTGCAGGTGAGTCGTCTTAGAGCTGGGCCTCGGGGCTTCTCCAAAGGCCCGGATCTGGACTCAGTTTCTGCCTGCAAGCTGCACCTGCTGCCTTGATGCTACTGGGAATTTCAGTAGCTGGGGAACCGCTCCATTTCTGTTTTCCTCTTCACTTACCCCTCAGCTTCCTCTTGCCACTCATGGGAAAACTTGCTGTCAATGTTTTTATTTCTGGGCGTTCTGCTCAACAAGTAAGTCATGTGCCTGGAATAAGCATCATAAGGCTGTCTGACACGCTGCTTTGGAGAATGTGGATGTCTCATTCTCGGGAACTTGTGTGAAACTGGGGTTTTGCATGGGAAGTTCAGACTGATTGTCCCTTTCATATTAGAAATGTCTGTCCCCACAGCTTCCTTTTAAATTATTTTCCTGGTTTGCCACAGGCTCAGGCATGGTAAGCAGCTTATGAAATCAACCGGTTTTTACCACCACCTTTTTCTTAACATGAAATTACGGGAAGTAAAGAAAAAGAAACTGAAGTGTTTTTATATTTATACTCCAGAGAGTATGAAGAGAGTGCCACGGTGAAGACCACCTACAGTCTTTGCTTTTGCTCCTGTTCTGCCTCATGTATGTCACTTGCTACCATTCACCATTTTTTATTATCCCACCTTTACTATAGGCTATTTTTATTAAAAGCAAAACAGTTTCTGTCATCTTTCTCAGACACATTCTTTGGGGCAGGTTTCTTGTGAGAGGGTCATGGGGTGTCTTCTTTTCGTAGCATGACCAGGGATAGTTCATCTTTCTCCTCCGAGGAGGGAAGCCTGCTTTGTGATGATCGAATACTTATCTCTGCTTCATAATTTAAGTAAGGGGGCTACATTGCTGAGTTTTCCATAATGATGAAAAATTCATGGTTGTTCTTCTGACTAGATGTTTTACTTTTAGTAGGGAGAAATTCATTATTTCTGTGATCAATACTAAATAGACCCCAAAATGCACATAGCCCTGATTCTTGTGGAGCTCATAGCTGACTTTTCTTGACCCTCTTAGCAAGATTGGTTTTTTTGTTCCGTTTTGTTTTGTTTTTTGAATCTTCCAGAGCTCTATTAAAATGATTAATACACTATGTAGTAGTTACATGTTCAAATTAAGTTCATTAGCTTCTTGTCCAATTGAAATTCACTAGTTTTACAATCACGGCATTTCTACTTCATTATTTTTCCAGAAAGAATTAGAGAAGCTGGAAAGAATTAAGAGGAACAAAGAATTAGAAGTAGCAGCCAAAGAACAATATCGGAAGATCTTGCTAAGGAAAAAAGGTCTGGAGCCTTGGAAGAAATTGATTCAGCAAAGCAGACAAAACACCCAGGTACAATGTTGCACTGTTAGCACCCCTCCAAAATTAGAAAATGGACTTTTCCGAATAGCATGAGTACTTGGGCATTGAATTAACTAGGGATATCCAAGGTCAGATGAATAGAGGCTTCTCTCAATTTTAGCAGCGCTTAAAAAACAGAAAAATTTGTTAGGTTTCTGCTGTGATGAAATGGCATAACAACTTAACTCCTAAACAGCAGACTCAAGTATAACTGAGGTATTTGAGTGTACTCAAGTATTTCTTTCTTTCTTTTTCTTTTTTGGTTGTTTTAAGACAGAGTCTCACTGTGTGGGTCAGGCTGGCCTTGAACTCACTATGGAGCCTAGGGTGGCTTTGAACTCACAGTGACCCTCCTGCCTCAGCCTCCTGAGTATTAGGATTACAGGCATGCACCACCATTCCTGGCTCAAGTATTTATTTCTCACATACATGTAGGCCAGTTACGGATTAGGTTCTGCTCTCTCCCTGTTATGGTTTATGTCTGTGTGTCCCCTCCAAAGCCTCATGTGACCAGGTGGCAGGCTTTTGGAGTTGAATAATTGTGGGTGTGAGAGCTACACCCGCCCTGGGGTGGATAGTTTGCATATGTAAGGGAGAGGAAGAGGCTGCTTGAGGCTATTCCTCCCCCATTCCACGCTGGAGAGTGCTTGCGGGTTAGCTGTGTGCTGCCGCCCTGAGATGGAGCCCTCTGCCACATGCCACTCTGCCTTATAATCTGCCAAGTACAGATTGAAACTTCCATGAACTGTAAGCGAAATAAACCTTTCCTTCCTTAATTTTGGGCATCAGGTATTTTGTCCCAGCAGCGAGAAAAAAGTAACCAAGACACTCCCTAAGCCTCGTTCTGGGTCCAGCAGGTACTTGGGGTATGCTTCTCAGCTGGCAGCTGAAAGACATAAAAATTATATGAACCCATCAGTAACCTCCAAAGTCCACTGATACTTTATTTTATTTATTTATTTATTTTTTGGTGGTTTTTTTTTTTTTTTTTTTTTCCGGTACCAGGAATTGAACTCACGACCTTGCGCTTGCCAGGCAGGTGCTGTGCCGCTGAGCTAAATCCCCAGCCCCAAATATTTTATTGAACAAAGCAAATCACAGGGCCAAAAACTCAAGATCACCGAGGAAGGAAGGAGGCACTGTGAAATCACATCACAGAGCATACTGGTGTAAATTCTATTGTGGAGAACAGTATCCGGTCTGTACACAGAGGTATATGAAGTTAAACACCATCTAAACTTGTGAAATTTCCCCAACAAACTTACCTAGTGCACAGAGCAGGGTAATCAAGTAAATAATCAAGAAGTCCAAAACAGATGAAATGTTATCTTGCCCTTTGGCTTCCAGACCGGTGTGTTCCACAGAGTCCCCCGTGATGGTCATTTTGGCCAGTAAGTGTGAGTTCGAAGAAGTTTCCTTGGATCAGCTGCATACACGTGCCAGACAGCTAGATGAAACTGAGGGAAATGTGTCCTTGTTTGGAGAGGACTGAGAAAGGTTTCCTCTCCTTTCTCTTTAAAGACTATAATGGTCACTTTTTAAAATCTGTGAACTCAGAATTGTATATTTTGATAGACTGAGACTATGAGCCTTTTAAATTGGTAAGACATTAAATTATTCATCTTATTTTCCTACCAATGGTTTTGTGGTTTATTGATATTATCTTAATTTCAATGCTGGTGACAGTTCATTCTACAAAACAAATTGGAAGTATCGGCATTTCCTCCCTCAGCTGCTGGTTAAGCACATAAAAAGGGCTGTTATGCAGCTGTTGTCCAAGTTCCAGGACGGCAAACCAAGAATGTCATCAGGTACCCGCCTCAAAACTCAGTGGAAGTGAAGTGGTAGCTTTGGAGGTGGTTTATTCCATTTCGATGACCAGCCAGTTGCTGCGATCTTCAGGGAGCCCCATCCCACTGAAAGGCCATCCATGTAACCTCCACGTAACAATATAGTAGGGCCTCCCACCAGTGCTCTTAGGATACAGAACTGTATGCGCCTTAAGATTATTCTTCTCTGATAACTGCCTAAATGTGATGCACAGTATTGTTTGGCAAGCTGACGCGTGTTTTCTTAAAGGATTTAAAATTTAAAGAATAATTTCTTTTTCTCATTTAAAAAAAAAAATGCATAGCTGGCAGAAAAACATCGTTCTTTGGCTCTACAGAGGAAATGTCTGCTGACCTGGTTCCAGTGTAGTCAGGAAAGTTTGGGGAGGAAGACGGCTCAGGCGGAGCGATTTTGTTCCCAGCGATTGCTTAGGAGGGTCCTTCGGAGCTGGCTACAGGTAAGGCCACAGGGAGAGCACTCCGAGCACGTCTCTCCTCTTCCCTTCCTTTGTTGTTCCTGTGGGCGTCACGAACTGTTCTCCTCTGCGATGTCCCTCTGCCACGTACCTCGGACTGAAGCTTCTGCAGACTGTGAGCTAAATAAACTTTGCCCTGTAAATAAATAAATAAACAAACAAACAAACATGTCTCTCCTAAATCTTCCACTAGAAAACTAAATGGACCCCAGAAAGCCCATGGTCACTTGTATTTTTTCAAGAACAATATAGAGTAGTGAACCCAACTAATTGTTTGAAGTGAACTTGAAAATGTCAACTCAATCTTATCAAATCTTACGCATGTGTCTTTTTTTACACGCCGTGACATAGCATGATATCCACTTTTGTCTTCATACTCACTTCCTGGCTACCTTATTACAGTGCTTCCGTGATCTCATTAGAAACCTGCCCCCTCAACCTCTACCTGTCTCTGCCCCTCGGTTTCTGTCCTGCTCACAGTAAATCACAAGGACACCCCCTCGGCTGCCATGTTGTCCCTTGCTCTTTATGCCGCCAGCGTCCTTCCCTGCTGCTTTGCGTGTTTGCGTCAGTGCTCTCGTTTGTACTCTTCATTGGCTCTCAGTCTTTGTCTGCCGACACCGTTTGTCTCATTTCTGTTGCTGTCCTCCTCCCCAGCATGTGACTGATCTGGAAGAAGAAGCAAGAGGGCTCTGTGTGCATTTCCTTCAGAAGAAGATTTTCAGGGCCTGGTTTCTCCTGGTCCAAGAGGCGAAGACTGACGCTCAGGGCAAGCACGAGGCTGCGGCGGGCCATCGTGACAGGTGAGGTTTCCATCCCCAACAACTTGCAGATCCCCTGGCTTCGCCATTGCTCTGCAGTGTGTTCTACCCCTGGGGTGTATCTGAAAAGACGAGAGACACCAGGCAGAGTGGGAGCCCCAGCTTGGCACTGATGACGTGGGTGGAGCAAGACTGTAACCCCCATGGGGGGCCAGGGTCCCTGTGTTTAAAGTGAGGAGGAGGAGGAGGAGGAGGCTCACATCCTCTGCACCTCCACAGGCACCGGCAGGGGGAATCAGTGTGAGGTACATGAAACACACCTAATGTACAGTCTTTTTTTATTAATCATATAGTTTTATTTTTTGTTCAGCTTTTTAAAAACACTATTTAGCTGGGTGTGGTGGCGCATACCTGTAATCCCAGCACTCTGGAGGCTGAGACAGGAGGATTGTTGCGAGTTCAAGAACAGCTTGGGCTACAAAGTGAGCTCAAGGATAGCCTGAACTGCATAATCAGACCCTGTCTCAAAAAGACAATCAATCAGTCAGTCAATCAATAAACCCTGTCTCAAAAAGACAAAAAATAAATAAAATAAAAACATTATTGTGAAATAGAACATAAATGAAGTGCTTACATCATAGAAATACAGTTTAAATGAATTATGAAAAAGTAGACACCCATGCACCACTAGCTGAAGTCAAGCAGCGGACCATCACTGCTGGAGGGCTTTTCCCCAGCACAGGTCCCTCCTACAAGGAAACCACTCCCTGCCTTGTGCCGCAGACACTCTCCTGTGTCTCTCTTGCTTTTCTTCAGCATGCAGCCTGCAGTGCTATAATTCAGTTTTGCTTTGTTTTTAATTTTTATATATATGGAATCACATTGTATTAGTATTTGAAACAGAGTTATATCATATTAAATCCAGTGTCTTGGGGAAATAAAGGCGTCCATATAAGTAAGGTTTTTCTTTGTTTTCTAAGTTTAATCCTTTGGACAGAAATGCTTTGAATGCCATTATGCACGTCCCTTTGAGAGTAAAGAAGTATTTCTGTCTCTTCGGTGATTTGGCGACATTCCTAATGAACATCGCTGAGCGTGGTGGGCATTTCGGTGGCGCCTCTGGCTTGGGAGGCGTGATGGCCACTGTGACGTGCAGAAGCACCTCTTTTCTCCACAGCTTCCTCTTCGGTTGCTCTGTTTTCACGTGCATGTGCGTGCGCACGCACTCGCATCTCCGCTCTACATAATAGTTTTCTTCCTTGGTACACGAGGAGGCCCACTCCTAGGAAAAAGTGATTGTCCTTGTTTCATTTACGGACACTGGAAATCAGTGGGTTGGGAACGGATAAAAAGTTGATTATAATTTTGTCTAAATGAAAATAAATATGCAGAAAGTCAGGGTAGAGGACTTGCCTCTGAACAAAATGCTTCAGCTTTAAAACTGGGAGGCCAGGACTGCCTGAGTCTCAGTGTGTGTGGCGGGGCACACACCCTTTTGAAGTGTCCCTGCTCCCCTGTGGTAAGTTAGGGTAGCGACGGACCCTGTCTTAGGGCGTTGTTGTGAAGACTGAAAGGTAACACGCTAATGTACTTACTGCAGTGCTTGACTCAAAGGTGTAGCTACTCTTGTTTTAGTTTAGTGTAGAATTAAACATCCTTGTTTGCCCACCTTTGCTGTCTGTCAGTCCTGTGCACGAACTGAGCTTCGTGTGAGCCTTTCACTCAAACCGTCGTATCACTGTGCAGCCAGGGGTGGGGGCAGAGTCATGATTTCCATTTTCAGGCAAGGAAACAAGCTGCAGGCGCAGGTGAATTGCCCCACGTGTACAAATAACGAACAGCGCTCCCCGCCCTGCTGACCAAGTCCTCTGCACCAAAACATTCTCTTCTTGGTGAACCAGTCCTCTTCTCCGTGTTCCTAGTGGATCGTCATTTGCAAGCTGTAAAATGTAGTAAGACGATAGTGTTCCTAGACAGGGTTTGAAATTAGGAAACAGAATTCGTGCAATCAAGAAATAAAATTACAGCCAGTGTGTGCTTGATGAAAAGCAATGAATTCTGTGACTTTATCTCTTCTCAGTTTGTTCTTGCCCACCCTGTTGCTGCCCCACTGGCCTCCCCTGCCGTTCTGACATACACGGCTCACTTCTGCCTCAGGATATTCGCATGCCTGCTCTTCCCAGTCAGCCCACTCTGATGAGCCTGAGTAGCTTGCCTCAGTCACTGTCTATCCATTAACCTGCCCTAGCCTGGGGAGCAGGGGCAGAGCCTGTCAGGAAGAGGGTAGAACAGTAGGAACGAAAATGCAGAAGTTAGAAAACGAGAATATATAGCTTAGCCACATAGCTGAGGCAAGTGTGAGGTCCTGAGTTCGATTTCTGGTACCCACAAAAAAACAAAAAACAAAACAGTAGTACAGCGAGGAAGATGGGATGACTGGCAGGTAAGAGTGAGAGAGAGGTGGAGTCAAAACTAGGAGTGGTTTCCAGAGACAGATTCAGGAAGCGGTAAGCCGTGGAGTGAATGGGTAAACACTGAAAGCAGTAAAGCAGTTCCACTCCTTGGAGCCTTTTTTTTCTAAGTGAGATTTCTACCACAAAAATCAACATTGTCTGAAACACGAAGCAGCCAAAAGCTATAAAATTAATGAGGACTGAGATGCATTCCAGAGCCTCGTTAGCTGGTTAAGAGGCCAGAACAAATCCCATCCCTGCCTCTAGTTGTGAAAAAGTAAAGCTAACTGCTCTGCACTCTGGTTTCAACAACCTAACTCCACTTGGGGTTCCTCACACACTCGCTGCTACTCTAGCTGCTTTCGCTTAAGTCTTGCCCTCTCCTGGGAAGGCCTTTTATTCGTCTCACTAAAACTCAGCATAAACACTGTGGCCTTAAGAAGCCTAGAGCCACTGAAAGGTTTTACTTTAAAATCGGGAACAAGAGAAGGATGTCCGCTGTCACCACTCCTGTTCAATATAGTTCTGGAACCACTAGCCAGAGCAATTAGACAGGAGAGAGAAATAAAAGGAATAAGG